GCTCACTAACTAACTAGCTCACTAACTAGCTCACTAACTAACTCATTCACTAACTCACTAAATCACTCACTAACTAACTAGCTCACTAACTAACTAACTCACTCACTAACAAACTAACTCACTAACTAGCTCACTCACTCACTAGCTCACTAACTAACTAGCTCACTAACTAACTAACTCACTAACTAGCTCACTAACTCACTCACTAACTAACTAACTCACTAACTAGCTCACTAACTCACTCACTCACTAATGAACTTGTTCACTAACTAACTCACTAACAAACTCCCTAACTAACTAACTCACTAACGAGCTCGCTCACTAACTAACTAACTAACTAACTAACTCACTAACGAACTTGCTCACTAACTAACTAACTCACTCGCTAACAAACTCGCTCACTAACTAACTCGCTCACTCACTAAATAACTCACTCACTAACTAACTCGCTCACTAACTTGCTCACTAACTAACTCGCTCACTAACTAACTAACTCACTCACTAACTCACTAACAAACTCGCTCACTAACTAACTAACTAACTCACTAACGAACTCGTTCACTAACTAACTCACTAACGAACTCGCTCACTAACTCACTAACGAACTCGCTCACTAACTAACTCACTCACTCACAAACTCACTCACTCACAAACTAACTCACTCACAAACTAACTCACTCACAAACTAACTAACTCACTCACTCACTCATTCATTCATTGCAGTCGAATGAAACCCTTTGGTTTGCTCCTTGGACAGGAACGAGGTGGTCTCTCTCCAGCACACACCCCTCCACGCCAGTGCGCTCACGTGCACGCGCGTTTGAATCATTGGCTGAAACTCCTTCAGCTCTGATTGGCCCAAAGTTCGGTGGGGTTAGTTCTGAAGAAGGCAGGCAGCCCCCTGAGCCTCAGTCCAGTCCTCAGACCCTCTCCAGCTGAGACACAAGCCCTCCTCCTCCTCAGCCGAGTGAGAACCGGAGCGATGCTCACTGCGTGTTTGGAGTTCCTGGGCCTGGCGCTGTGCGTCTCGGGCTCCCTGCTGGGGATGGTCGCGTGCTGGCTGCCCACGTGGAAGGTGACCGCCTTCATCGAGTCCAACATCGTGGTGGCGCAGACCATCTGGGACGGGCTGTGGATGTCCTGCGTGACGCAGAGCACCGGCCAGATCCAGTGCAAGATCCACGACTCGGTCCTGAGCCTGACGCACGACCTGCAGACGGCGCGCGCGCTCACGGTCATCTCGGCCGTGCTCGGGGTGGTGGCGCTGACGGTGACGGTGTCCGGGGCGCAGTGCACGGTCTGCATCCGGGACGAGGCGGTGAAGGCCAGGGTGGTGCGCGCGGGCGGGCTGATCTACATCCTGAGCGCGCTCCTGATGCTGGTGCCGCTCTGCTGGATGGCCAACACCATCATCAGGGACTTCCACAGCCCGCAGGTGCCCGCCTCCAAGAAGCGCGAGATCGGAGCGGCCATCTACGTGGGCTGGGCCGCCACGGCGCTGCTGCTGCTCGGCGGGACGCTGCTGTGCTGCTCCTTCTCCCGGCTGGTCCGGAGCGACTGCCCCGACAAATACGTCACCGTCAAGACCATCACGGCCGGCGGGCAGTCCGACAAGCAGCAGCACTACGTGTAAACTTTGACCTGGAGACGTGTGGGACAGGCTGGAGACGTGTGGGACAGGCTGGAGACGTGTGGGACAGGCTGGAGGACAGGATTTTCTGAAAGAGACAAAGTTTTCACTGAAGCCATGACTGATGAGGTTTTCTGTGGCCAATTTTTAGAAATCTATTTTTTATTTCTTAAACAGGCTGCTTTATTTCGGACAATAAGCCGTTTTTATTCAAGAAACTCTAAAACTGTTTGATCTAAATACACAAAATTTATAATTGTCTGAAATTTATCATGTAGATTTTGTATGAAGGGTTTTGCTTGGTTTGTGTGCTTTTCATTTTGTTGTTAATATTCTAGCTTCTTTTTTTATCATTTTATTATTATTGTAATAAAGAAACAAAACTTTTGTTAATAACACGTTCTTGTCATCTTTTTACTCGTTAAGTAAACATGTTTATTTTATAAAGTTTAAGTATCAGGTGAGATATTTTCTGTCTGCAAAATATCCTGTGAACCAGTCTTATTAAAACCTTCAAATCACAGGATGCACATTCAAGGGTATAACTTTAGGTCTGCCATTATGTAAAACCCTGAATGCCATTTTGAGCAGTTGTGCTTAAACATACATACATGACAGGGTTCCTGCAGATCCTTAAAAAGCCTTAAAAGTCATTGAATTTATCAATTCAAAAATAAGGCTAATTAGTCTTAAAATGTCTTAAATCAATCTTCAAATGTCTTAAAATGCTAAGACATTGTACGCAGGGTGACTAATTCATCTCAAATATTAAAATAATTGGTAAAAATTTTTTTTAAAAATGTTCACGTGCAGACATTCCCCTTTGACATCACTTCCTGTTATTTCACATGCAAATATCTCAACAACTGTACATCTGAGCAGTGTGAAATTTGTTTTGTAACATGTCAATAATGTTGTTTTTCCAAAAATGCATTCTTTTTTTTCTTTTTTTTACAAAAATTTAATGTCAGACACTTTATGGTTTCATCTACAGCAAATTGGGGTTAAGACCCCACTGAGGGTCCTATAACTCCAAATTTTGTGTTGTTAGAGGATTTCCTTAAAATCTAATTAATTTTGAAACTGGCTGCTAAGAACATTTCTGCTGTAGATATTTGGATAAAAACATTTGGTCTATCAGAAATATTTGGATCCTTCAACCAAAAATACTTTGATTCATTTTATTTATTTATTTTTGTCATTTGTGTTTATTATGAAATTGGTCTTAAATTTAATTTCATTTGGCATTAAAAAGTCTTAAATTTAACTTGCCTTAAACTGTAGGAACCCTGTATGACATCGTAAGTGTTTTAATCAAGTCGAAGTTACCTAAAGACAACAAGAGTTGCATTTGTCTACTTAATCAGCTAATTTCTATTGTGTTTGAGCAAATTATGTCCTTTTATTGGGGGATATATTGACTGAATCAAATTATTAATTATTATGGGGGTCATGACTAAATATTATAAATAATATTTACTAAATATTAAATAATAAGGGTAAATATTAAATTCCAAATCTAAATGTAAAACTTAAATCTTCAATGTTGCAGCTAAATGATAAAGCTTACATTTGTTTCGGAATGGAGCGCAGCCTTTGCGGTTATGACATCATCATCCTGCGACAAAAGGAACTCTGTTGAAGATGGTTTTTAAAATTTAAATTCAAAGTGTGTTTTTTGAAAACTATGGATGGTACCCGTGGTCCAGTAGTTTGAGGTGCGGCTCAGACACCGGCTGCAACCTCAAGTTTCAGTGTTAGCAGAGTTAGCAGTGTTAGCGGTGTTAGCAGAGTTAGCGGTTACTATTGTCTCAGGATGATGACACTAAAAATCATGAATCTGGGGCTTATTGTTTATAACCTGTTTAATCTATACAACACGAGTGTGTTGTGAATTAATAATATTCACAAAAACTGTTTTTTCTTTGTCATGTTTTGAGTCTTTGGGAGTCTTATTTAAATTTACATGAAAGTCAAGTTATTCTGACAAAACTGAAGTCGAGAAACATATAAAATAAAAATAAAAACATCATAAGTGAACCTGCCCAGTTCTGTTTTGTATTTTAATTAACTGACAGTTATCAGTGATTACTAGTGTGTACATGGCAGCATTTTTACAAGTATTCGGACTCATACAGTGTCCTTAAACCCGGAACTGATACCCGTATCAATATGCCATTTAATGTGTTGAAAAGTTTATCAGTTCTTTGTTTAAGAACACACAAGTTGAAAAAAGATTGTATAGTGTTATATCATGTAGGGCTGCCACAAACGATTATTTTTATAATCGATTAATCACCGATTATTTTTTCGATTAGTCGACTAATCTGATCATATGTTAATTGAATATAAAACAGAGCTTATCACGTCAAGAGTGCAGCTGCTATTATATAACCATGGTTAGATTTTAGCTATATGCTAACTAAAAATAATTGCTGTGAAGGCAAGTTCTGCTCTGCAGATATTGCACAGGTTTCTCTTTCATTTYCTTAAAATGATCCCACACTTTGAGCTCCGTTGTCAGGCAGCCATGAYACCAGAGCCTGTCTGTATAATGTCTTGTGACGTCCACGGCCTACCCCAGTTACCACTACTGTGCAGGTGTGTCAAAGACAGAAAGGCAGATGTGGCAGTGGAAGGTGTCAAAGCAGCTTGGAGAGAAAAACAAAGTAAGGAATAAAAAAAAAAGAGAAAACGATTAATTGATTATTAAATTAGTCATCGATTATTTTAATAATAGATTAGTCGTCGATTAATCAATTAATCGTTGCAGCCCTAATATCATGCTGTATTTGATTTGATCCAGTAAGAGGGGCTGGCCTTTAAGGAAGGAGACACTAAATAAATAAATAAAATGAAGATGTTTTTAACGTCTTTATGTAAAGTTTAGGTTCTAATAAGTTCTAATAACTTGGAATCGGAGTGTGCCCAAACTAAAATTGTGCTCGTATAGATAAAAACCTGTACTGGGACACTGTAACCTCTGTAGAAGCAGGAAGTTGGTCAGTTTGCTGCTCAGGAGCTACAGGCGAGTTAATCCAACGACAGCAAAGACCTCAGAGAAACTGTCGCTGCTCAATCAAAAGGTTTTTTAAGTATATTTTAAAACAATCTATTGTTTTACAGCCAGAAAATTTACAAGTGGAAATCATTTCATACAGCTGCCCCCTAAATTCACCCCAAGGTCAGACTGCGTAATCCTCAAAAAGAGCCTAAAGTCTCCACGTCAGACTCTCCAGGCCTCAGTTAGCAGGTTAGGTTACATTTTCTGACAGGACAGAAAAGATGGAACATTTGGGTTTGTGCTGTTTCACCTGGGTTTCAGATTTGTTTAGACCCGTCATAAAAAGCCCCGCGCTTCTTTGTTTGTTTGTGAGTCGAGGGAAACAAATACGGGCGACGACGTGACGTCAAAGCAATCAGGTCTTTGTGTCACGCAGCCCGGTGGAGCACTAAACGAACACCACGGCCCGTCTGAACAATGCACGTCCACCGTCACCTCAATCAGCGGGGAGTCGTTCCAGCGGCAGGAAGCTTGGCCCACATCTGGACTGGAGCACTTGGGAGGCCTCGCGTGGGTCACCAGAGAGGAAGCACCGGCACAAACACAACCAGAGGCACAGAAAAACACAACCAGAGGCACAGAAAAACACTCCCACCGACATGGATCTTCAGCCAATCAAACGAGACTTCACATTTCAAAAAGAAGCTGCTGGCAGGTTTAAAACTGAGCTGCTCTCTGTGGAACAAGCTGTAGATTAGAAAGCCAAGACACAAATACAGGAAGGTGTCTTACAAACTTCAAAGCTGTTCACTTACAGTATTTTGATAAAATCCACTTTCTGTGTCATCGTGTTCCTTTATTACTGTCTGCACACAATGAATCACATTAGAACACGAGAGGTGTGTGAGGCAGGCACGTCGAGTCTTTGACACGTTCACATAATCCACCAAAAACTGTTTTAGTCGGACTGTACCATCCAGAGGATGGAACAGGTCCAACATTAGTGAGGTTGTGGGTGTGAGGAGCCAGAAACATGAAGGCACTCTGTCGCCCTCTGCTGGTTCTACAGAAGAATGGCACGCAGTCCACGCATCAAAAGCATCTCGTTAAAACACAAAGCACTCGAGCCTGAAAAGCATCAGAAAAACATCTGCAGGAGTCACCACCATCTGAATTCTGACCACTCTCTCTCTTTTACTCTTAAAATATGTTCTCTTGTTAAATATCTCTAAATATCTGCTGACTCTTAAATAAATCCTTCTGGCCTCAGGTTTATCTGCCCATTTAAATGACGCTCAAATACATACATACATTCAACTGTCTTAACTCAACCGCTTAGCTAAATATCAGTGTGTGTAAGTATAGTTTTGACCTCAATTAGAGGAACCCCACAATAAATTCACAATTGATTTTAAAGGCAGTTTGTAGGATTTTATCAATTCTTTTAGCCGAAATTGAGATAATCTCTAATGACAATAATAAAAAACATGTCTAATCATTGCAGACAAAGACCTTGTTTTATTATTTTTACCTTATAAAAAGCTGTTTATATCTCCATGGTCGCGGGTCGCCACTACAGGCGCCTAAGCTGAGGTTCTTCTT